TTTTCTATATAAGGCTCTGGTACAAAGTTGTAGGGAAATAGAGGCATAATACAAAGTCCTATGAAAGTTAGGTGAAGATGCTCAATGCAGAGATTTATCTACAAGACCCAGGGTTCGAGCTGTCCCCCATGCACTGAGAGCTTGGCCAGGACTTTGTGCCTCGGTTCCCCCTCTGAGTGGGGAGCTGTGAGGGGTGGGGAGGGCCAGGCTGGGCATTAAAGCAGCAGCCTGTGGGTGAGGGCTGGCTCCACAGTTAGGTTTGGATAGGGCCTGCCCGCCCCTCCTGCTTTTCCATCAGCCCCATCGCTGGGCTGGCTTCCCTCCAAACAGCCCCCGGCATCCGCCTCCCCCAGCACCAGACGGCTGGTAGGGTGCCAGCTCCTGGCCCGAAAGGGCAGCGGGCTGGGGAGAGACAAGGGGAGGCTGGGATGGGCTCAGGCCTACTGGTGCAAGCACAGGCCCCTCTCCCGGTAGTTTAAATGTCCTGCTAAGATGCTGTCACGGCTCCTGGGTGTGCAAATGGCAGCGTGTTCCTCAGCCTGTCTGCTCCCCGTGTGTAGGGGCTGGCTCCCCTCTGTGAGCCCCGTGGAGCAGCCCCACCTCGGGGGGTAGAAATGCCTGCCCCAGAGACATTTCAGCTTGGACTCTGCCGCTCCCAGAGGAGAATGGCCCAGCGGGTGGTGGTAACAGGCCACACTAGCCAGTCACTGGGGTGGGGTGGCCCCTTTCCCCCCAGGTTTTGCTTTCTCTCTGGCAGGGGGCCTGGATTTCTTCTCTGCTCGAGGGGGGCATAGGAGGGGTCCGAGCGCCGCCTCTGCAAGCTGCCTGGGGGGGAAGCAGATGCTGCAGACCAGCCCCAGCTCTGGCCAAGGGCAGAACGGGCCCTGGTAGCAGGGTTGGGGTGGATGGCCAAGACCTACACTGGGAGGGAGCAGCTTGTAGGGGGGTTTAGAGCCCCCCAGTGGGTGGGAATAGCAGGGGGCTGTGGGTCTGGACGGAGGGGCACCGCCCATAGAGCTGTTTGGGATGCTGGCAGGGCCCTTCCCTGCACTGTCACTCAGATTCACTGTTCTAGAAAGATGCTGGACAGTCCCTGTTGCAAGCGAATCCCGGTTCCCTGGCAGCCTCGCTCCCTGGGCGGGCGCTCGGGTGCCTGGAGGAACGAGGTGCAATCACTGCCGAGGCCTAGGATGCCGCTTGCAGCGTTTCTTCCTTCGCAGCTGGCTGAAGGTCGTGTCCTGCAGGGCCCCTTCTTTGGGCTGCTTCACCCCCAAAACGGCTGGGTGAGGAGGCAAGGTCCTGGAGACCTCAGTGCGGGTGGGGGAAGGGGACAGCAGGGAGTCCCTCCCCCACATGCACTGCAGGGGCAGGGCAAATGCCTCCCCCCACACCTGTTGACACCCAGTCACCCTGGAGCAGGAGCTGGGGGCCTGTCCTCCCTCCCTGACAGTCGATGGCCCCACCCCGGCTGGGACCTCATGGTGCCCAGCAAACATTACATAGACCCCATCCCCACATCCAGCACTGCGATGCAGTCACTGCTGGGGTGGGGCGTGGCAGCTGTTTAACACTCTAGGACAGGAAGAAGGATCCAGCAAGTGGGGCCGGGGGAACAGAGGGAGCAGGATGGACGGGCTGGAGCCGAGGTTTGTTGTGCGGTGGAGGGTGTTTTAATGGTGCTGAGTGATCAGAGCCTCAGTGCTAGAGAGAGACGGTGCCTCCACGGCCCCAGTGCCGTACTGGGAAGGCGATGGGGACCCTCGGCTGCTCCGTCAGCACCCGGGAGGTATTCGGCAGGCTCCCAACCAGGCACCTGCAGCCCCAGCACCGGCTGCCCATCCCCGCTCCTTGGGAGGACGAGCAGGTACCCAGCAGGCCGACTAGGTAAGGCAATGGCTGGAGGGGGCCGGAGCCCCCGGGAGGGACAGCTGCCAGGGCCATCGATCCGGGGGGCTTGATGGAGCCGTTCCTGGCACCGGCGCCGCGCACTCAGCTCTGATCTGCCCCCAGGGGATTCTCTGGCGGTGGAACCCGGGCAGCATTTTCCTGTATGGAATTTCAGCCGGGGGGGGAGGGGGGCACAGCTCAGCCCATTGTCGCAGGGTCACTGGGGTGAACTTGGGGGCTGATTTCTCCTCCCTGAAGAGTGCAGGGTGCCTTGAGAGCTGATAGCAGCTCTCTGTGGTTCCCCCCCACCAGGAGCGCCCCAAGCCCTTTGCACCAGGGAAATGCAGCTCCTTCTGGGGTGCAGCATGTTCCCCGCTTGGTGGCGGGGTTGGATTTTAACCAGTGGCCCCCTGGCTCTGAGGCCAAGTCTGCTGGGGTTTGTGCTGCACTGTGGGGTGAGGGGGTCCCCATGCAGGCCATCAGGCATAGGCCCCCTGTATCTGTGGCCCCAAAGGGGTCCCCCTCCCCAACCCCATCTGCACTACTCTAGCTGTGGGGCTCGCAGCCTCCACCCCGGTGCTGCCAGGGAAGGGGGGTCACTTGGTTCCCATGGCAGGTGGCCCCACCCGAGTGAAGGGGGCGGCGGGGAGAATGGCGTGAAGGGAAGACAAAGCCATGGGGTGGGAAGCTGATACTGCAGGGCTAGGACACCCAATGGGCCTGGGCCCCCTGGAATGGGGTTATGGAGCCTTTTGCCTGGAGGTGGCCAATTCGAATCCTGCCAGGGGCAGTGACTGGCCTCCTCAGAGACCCCCCCCCCCATGCAGCGAGTTCGCTGGTTCTCAGCATAGCTCGTCAGCACTGACTGGCCCCCTCATTACCCAGACCTGAATGGCCCCTGGACTGAGGGCCCTGGATCACGGTTGGGGCGTGGGGGGAGCTGCTGCCTGGCCTGGCCCCACGTGGGGCTCGATTGTGACTCCAGTGCCCAGGGGGCTGCCCCAGGAATGCCTAAGGACCAGTGTGGTGCCAGGGCCCCACAGGAAAGGACGCGGGTCGTGTCTGGGGCTGATCCAAAGGCCACTGCAGTTAACGAGGGTTCTTCCATCGGACCCACGGGCCTTGGGCTCGGGCTGTTGGTTTAGACTGTGGGGGAGACAAGGGGCTGTGGAGTGTGTGATGGAGTCACCACTCGGCAGGGGGCAGAATTTGGCTCTTGTAAATAGTGAAGAGAGAAATGAACATGGCTGAGATTGTTCCTAGTTGCCTGAGAACTGGGAGCCCAAATCACTGAGGCAGATTTAAAAATATTGATTTATCCATTCACCCATCCCCATCCACCCCATCCTCTACCTGTTCCTGTACACCCCCTCTATCCATCCGTCCCCATCCACCCCATCCTCTACCTGTTCCTGTACACCCCCTCTATCCATCCGTCCCCATCCACCCCATCCTCTACCTGTTCCTGTACACCCCCTCTATCCATCCGTCCCCATCCACCCCATCCTCTACCTGTTCCTGTACACCCCCTCTATCTATCCATCCCCACACCCCGTCTACCTGTTCCTGTACCACCCCCT